TCACATATTTTATACTTTGTTTCACCAACACAGTCAACAAATCCCAAGTATGTGGGAAACACAAATTTGAGCGTATATTAGGTGAATAATGATTAAATTTTGCTTTAATGCACCTCAGGGCTTTAATTCTTAAGCTAAAAGAAGGAAGAGGTCTATGAAACACAAGGAGAGTAAAGTCAAGTGAAAAACACTTAATAATAATACTACATTTTATTTATAATGCACTTTTCATCAAAAGATCTCAAAGTGCTTAAACAGAGAGGTAAAATAAATGTTACAACCCTTTAGAAGTAACCATTTAGGGCACATAAAAAGTATCATTTCATGACTGTGCCTTGCAGGGCAAACACAGGTTTGCCTTTAGCCTGCATTCAAGTGCTTTGGTGACTTTCCTTGAACCTGACAGAAACCAGAGCAGGTTGTCAGTAACAATTATGCAGTGCAGTTTAATTCAAGGATTAGCAAACTGCAAGATGCAGTTTATTCTTTGATCTTCTGTCACCAAATTATGAACACATGAAGTATTTTTTATTTTTTTAAACAGAAATTCTGCTCACCTTATATTACAGTAAGACAAGACCATACTGCTGTAATAAAAAGCGGCACTCTTGATAACTTTAATATTTGATGAGAGAAGGTGACAATGTGCACTTGTCAATACACATTATATAGTTTCGCTGGAGAGCAGATACATTTTTTTTTTTTAAATACATGGCTGTGCATGACAAATGTGAGCTTGTTTGAAAAAAATACATTTGATAACTGTACACAAACGAACCTAATCAGCAATCTAACCAAAAAAAGAAAGTGTTTACTTATTTTCAACATAATGCCACCAGAAAAACAATAGCACACAGGTATCAGAATAGAAAAAAGGAGAAGCCCTTCTTCGTGAATGAAGTCTGGGAGACAGTTTGAAGACCAATCTGCTTAAAAGCCTGAGGCTGCACTTTCCCTTATGACTGCAATACAAAATGTTGTTTACCAGATTAAACTAGATTTGAAAGAATGTTGGTTAAACATTTTCTTTACAGTTGCAGTATACCGACTGCAGATACTGCACGATCAGTAAATTAAAAAATAATGAAACATCTTGAATCACTATTCATATTTTACTTTAGCTGATCTATTATTAATAATTAGCGTATTAAATTTCTAGGTTAGATGAAGTGAAACCATTCCCACAACTGAGAGCGAGAAGGCCACACCACTACTGGGGAGCAAAGAGAGAGTGTCCAATCAATATGTTTGAAGTGATGACTCATCTGCCCTTGGTAAGCCAGAGACAGGTGACAAAATGCAGCCAGCCAGTTACAGTAGCAGTTTGAATTCCGACCATGCTGCCGCAGGCAGCCAGGGGGCAAGTACCAAGGGAAAACAGGATAAGAGGGACATGAAAAATTTGAATAGATTGAGCACAAGGTGTACTGGCACAATAAATCATAAAGTATGCAGTCACAACGTCAGAAGGAAGGTAAAGATGACTAAATAGTGAACAGGAAGGTGTTCTGTTATGAAGTGAAAACTTGGAGGATTGATTTGAGGATGTGATGCGAATTATGCATGGATTATCCTCTTTTACAAACTCTAGTGTGCGCACATATGTCACACATTTGGTATCAAATTACAGAAATGCGCATGAAGAATGTACTATATACACACAGAAGCTACTTTATAAAAACAACACTCGGAACTTATAACTTGAACTGTAAGTGTCACATTTGTGGGATTTCACAACAATATCACATAATCTAAACATAAACATCTTTTACTTTTTCAGTAGCTATAAAGACTCATGTATCATGGTCACTGACAACACTCAACAATGGTGTTCCATCTGTCTAGTAAACAATAGAGACATATATAGATAAACAGGTACGGATGGGGTTCCTAACAAGAAATAATCTTTAATTAGAATTGAGAGAAATGTCTTTTTTTTTTTGATGTGTCTCCATTTCTTTTCCTCCACCACAGTAGCAGTTTAGACACACATTATTTTTTTAAAATGTATATATACATACACACACACACACACACACACACACACACACATTGTGTGTGTATATATATACACACACACACACACACATACATATATATATATATATACACACACACACACATTTACACATATATACATATATACACACACATATATATATACACACACATACATATACACACACACACATACATATATATATACACATATATACACACACACTATGGCATGCCGTTTAGGAAATAATATATATATATGATTTCCGTCTGAATATATGGAATGAAAGTCTGAATATATGGAATGAACCTTGAATATATTGAATGAAAGTCTGAATATATGGACTGAAAGTCCTGGCGCCATCTTGTGTTATCACTGATTAATCAGGATGTAACAAATGTAGACGCTATGAGTGAATCAGCTAGGAATCTAGTGTCAGCTATTTTAAGCAATGAAGACATTATTAACACTCTGGCAAATGCATGTACGGGCCAAAATACCGGTAACCGTATCCAGTACCGTTCTCCCGATGAAGAAATATATTCTCTTTTCCATCGTGGAAGGCCGAACGCAGGGAACCTCCCAGGACAGGCAGGTCCTGTTTTTCAGACAAACACACCTTCAACCTCACAGGTGCCCCCTACAACAGCCCCTATTTACAATCTTCGCCCATCCACTCGAAAGAGCCTAGGACATAGGAGGTAACAATAGAATTTACTGCATTTCAATTGTTGTTTAAAAGATTAATGTTACGAGCCTTTGTTTAACCAGAAAGCCATTATATCGCTCTCTTCAAAGCCTCCAGATTCCATTGACAAAACAGTCATTTTAAGTTACAGCTGGTAGGTTATTGTGTTACTTGAGTATTTCAAAGATTATTGTGTAACTTTGGTGTTTTAGTTAGTTCGGATCTGAACTAATCTTTTAAACACGAGCCGGGCTGTCCTGCTCACTACGCATATTAAGCAGGGCCCCTCTCACTCTTGTTTCAAATGTCAGTGGCTGTCACACCACTGGGCCAATATGCTGGCTTGCTGCGCTGTATGAAAGGTGCGGAGCTGGAAAGCTGGGTCCGATTTCATTCTCTTCTGAGGCGGGATCGTGGAATGATGTCTAAGCCCAGCCACAGCACACCAGCAAGCCGGTGTTGTGGTACACGTAACGTTAACGGGTTATTTTTCTACGTCGCTGGTTCCCCGGAAAGCCAGAATTTGTTTACAGCTTTGATGAGTGGATGAAGAGGAAACTAGCCTATCCTTCTGGGCACGAGAATAGCACAACAGTTAGGTAAACATGTGTTCTTTCGTCTCAAAGTCTGATTTAAGCAGAAAACAGTAATGTTAAGATAATGTGCAACTGCAGTGCCTCAACTCGGTCTGTCTTGCTAACCCAGTTGTACAGCGCATCTCGGTCTGTCTGTATTTTGGTTATTTAACAGACTTTGTGTTTGAACAGTGTTAGAGTGAAATAGAACTAGCCTATTTATTACGTCCACAGATAAACGCCGACAGGCAACGGTGTTTTTAAACTGCAGCTCGGTAAAGATAAAAGTAGCGCGCGTGAACTATATGTTTTTAGTCGAACATCATTTTAAAACAAGACAGTGATTATCCGTCTCTCACTAACATTAAAGGTCTAGATACAACTCTGGACTAATTGAAGATTAAAAGCAGTTGATTGACACAAGTGTTGATTAGCTGGGCAGAGTGGGCATTATGGATGCACTGCACATCTCTCAGTTAATAATAACCATCACTTATTCAGCCAGGTCATGGTAAAACGTTTAATAGTATTTTACCTTTGAAAATGTATAAAAAGAAACCTGGGGAGCCAGTACGAATGGGCCTGATGGAGCTGATAACATTAATATATTGCAAGTATTGTTATCTATAATTTATAGGGGCTATGCTGAAGTTTGTCAGTAGAGTAGATGCTGAATCATCGGCTGATACAAGCACAGATGATCCACATCCAGCCTCAGCCTGTACCAGCACAGTCAGTACAGCAAGCATCAGACACAAGCAGCTCAGACCCTAAACAGTTGCTGCTCCAGCAGATTGGCCCCCAGTAGGACTTCATGAAGACTGAATTAATGTACAGAGGTCCATTCAAACCAGCACTGGATGTTTCTAGAAGAGATTTACATTAAGGTTTATTTCAGAGACAGATTGAACGGAGGGAGGATTGTAGTGAAAGCACTGTGGTGTCAGGTGTGACTATGCAGCAATGGCAAATTGTTTACATGGATCAGAAGTCAGGGCCCCAGGGAGGTCAGAACCAGCTCTGAACACCAAAGTCACAATAAAAAATAAAAACAGAAACTTCCGTGTTCTAAGAGGTAAATTACTTATTGTCAAAGGAGTCTGGTGGCTTTGAAGAGAGTGATATAATGTCCGTTGGTCGTTGGTCCTACTGCACCAGTTCCAAAAGTAGGCCACGTATTAGTCATTTACACAGCTAAATATGTAATGTTAGGGCCTAGAGGTTTCTAAAAATATTTTTTTACATTTTGAGTCCCATGCACTCCATCTAGCTAACATTTCAAAAGCAATCCTTTGATTTTCTTTGCAGTAACATTAGCCTATTTATTTTAGCATTTCATAGTATTGTCCTGTTCCACGCAGTAACAGTTATGATTTAGGTAGTCGAATTTAAATAATTTAATTTAAGGTAATTATTGTGAGGCTTGTTAGGTTTTATTTAAAAGAACTTTCAAATTAATAAATTGCATTAGTGCAGATCACTGCTTTATTAATCATACTGTATATTTATTAACATTGCAGTAAATTATGAAGTTACACAATTTAATACTGTACCATGGTAAGACACAAATGTTAATGTTAGCAACCACAAAAAATAACTACAGTTCAGAATAAATTCATTTTTAACACATTTATCTGTTCGTAAACAGAGAAGATAAGTGAATCTACAGTAGGCTACATGTTTATTGTATATAAATGTATACTGTAAATAATATAAATGTAGTACATGTTTTTACACTTTTTAATGTAATTTGGATTTTCTTTAATGTTTCTAAGGTTTCTGGCACAATTAAGAAATCCAGTGGCTCAGTCTTTTACCAAAGAGGTCATTCTCCTGCCAGACCATACATATACAAATGTGCCTAGGCGTGCCAGCAAAGCTTGGCTTTTTGAAAATGGACATATAAAATCTGCATTGGAATTTGGCTGTGACTGGGACTCTGTCAAAGTAATGCAGGCAATAACAGCGGCCTTCCAGCCTGTTGTAGAGGGATGCAGGTAAGCTTTTGATCTGTTTTGGCACATTTCTTACCTGTTTCATCTTATTTATATTTTTGCAATAATATCATATACTGTACTATGAAAGGTCAATTTTGAGTGCATGTGTTTTCACTTACATTTATTTTTTCACATTCTCTTTTGCTGCTGCTTATTTTTACCAAGCTTGGATATGTAAAAAAAAAAATACACACAATAATACAATACATTGGGGTTATCTGGTATTATCTCCAAGTTATGTTGACTTGCAAAACTTTACAGAATTTAAATTTCTGTGTGCACACAAATTATGTATTGAAACTCAAACTTTTCCATGTACTGTAGTGTAGTGTTATACTTTTAACTAGTTTCATATACAGTGTGCTTTTCATTCCCTCAGGTTACAAATCTTGATGCCATGCCACAACAGACTAGTTGAGCCATCCCTTAGCTCCAATCAGTGGAGGCCTTTTAAAAAAATTGTTTCATCAGAAGTCCATATATGTCAGGCCTGACAAGGTCATTTTAAGTGAGGAGAAAGAATCTGTAAGTAGTGCATAAAGATGTCATGTGCATGACTGGCAATGGGAATACTGTATTTTACACTGGATGTCTGAGACACCATTACTTGTCCTATGCTGTGACATAATACAAACATTTGTTTGTTAGTATAGTGTATTTGACCCTTAAAGTTTGTTGTATTTATCTGCTTCAATTGTCAGTCATGTTCTGATGGAGACAGTCACCATGCAGGGAGCCTTGATTTCGCCCAGTCATCGGACAGTGACAACTGTGGTAAATATTTCTATCTATATGCATCTACAAACAAAATCAAAATGATGTTGGTTATGGCTTGTCATGCAGGGTAATAGGGATAGTAATCACATATACACTGCTCAGAATAATTAAGGGAAAACTTAAAGAACCAGTGTGTAATATTTAGGAGGATCTGTTGACAGAAATGCAACATAATATCCATACCTAAGTTTTCAGTGGTGTATAAAGACCTTATAATAATATAATAATAATAATAATAAACCGTTATGTTTTTATTACCTTAGAATGAGTCATTTCTATCTACATACAGGTCCTCTTACATGGACTTCACCATGTTGCGCCGCCATGTACAGTACGTTGTACAGTACACCAAATGGACAAACTGATCTGCAGAGCACGTTTCATCACTAGTGAACAGTGAATACACAGAGAATATGTACAAAGAAAAAAAAGTAACAATGATAGTTATAGTCGTAGTCTGGCTTATTAGAAGTAAGAACAGAAGTGAAATTTGGACAAATGGAGGACCAGACGTATTATTTAGCACAAGAGCCGACAGAGTGTGTCGACCACTGTAGCTTCTCCTCTGCGCTTTTGCAACAAATGGGTGAGTGGTGACTAATGGTCCATTCATGTGGTATCGGAATAATTGGAATTTTAAAAAAAATCTTTATTGCAATAGGAGGAAAAAGTGTACATGTGATATAAATAAGTATACAGAACAATATACAAATATATAAGAAGACACAAATAATAACAACTTTGCCGGAGTAGTCTTTTTATATAAAGATATTAAAAGAGGACCATATGTTGAACGTTTTCATAGCCTTTTTGTTGTTGGATTTAGAAATTAAATTGATATAAGATATCGTAGATGTCTGCATATTGTTTTTATGCACTGATAAAGCACATCTTTGTTAGCTTCCATGTTGATTCCACATTCTGACTTAGGACCACATGAACATACCAAAGTTGGAAGAACTACTTTACAACTCGGGAAAACCATCTGAGGAGCACGTGAATGCACAGTTGGTTCACCACTAGATGCCACTAAAACTTACACACTGAACCTTTAATCATCACAGTATAACATTGTGTTAATTAAACTTCAAGGATATTAATCTGTACAGTTAGGAAGCATAAGCAATTGTGAATCAGTGTCAGTGTTTTGGTGCGAGTGAAAGTGACAACAGGTGCACTGGAGAGGCAACAGCAAGACACCCCCCACATAGGGAATGGTTTCCACTGTCCACAGACAGTTGCTCTCTCCTTATCCTTCCTGACTGATTGTTCTCTAGTTTGGCGTTTTGCTAGTGTCCTTGTGCACACTGGTAGCATAAGTTGGTACCTGCAGTCCATTCAGGTCTCACAGGTAGTCCAGCTTCTCCAGGATGGCACATCCATATGTCACAAGAAGGTCTGCTGTGTCTCCCAGCACATTCTCAAGAGCATGGAGGAGATACCAGGAGAGAGGTCGTTACACGAGGAGAGCTGGAAAGGCTGTAGAAGGGCATCAACCCAGCAACCCGTATCTGCTCCTTTGTATGGGGATGAACAGGAGGAGCACTCCCAGAGCCCTACAAAATGACCCCCAGCGGGCTACTGGTGTGCATGTTTCTGATCTACTATCAGAAACAGACTCCATGAGGTTGGCATGAGGGCCCAATGTCCTCTAGTAGGATCTGTGCTCACAGCCCATCAATGTGCAGCTCAATTGGCATTTGCCAGAGAACACCAGAATTGGCAGGTCCGCCACTGGCGGCCAATTGTCCTCACAGATGAGAGCAGGTTCACACTGAGCGCATGTGACAGACGTGAAAGACTCCAGAGACGCTATGGTGAACGTTATGCTGCCTGCAACAATTATCCAGCATGGCCGGTTTGGGTCAGTATTGGTCTGGGGAGGCATATCCTTGGAGAGTTGCACAGACCTTCACATGCTAGTCAACAGTACCCTGACTGCTGATGAAATCCTCAGAGCCAGTGTCAGACGCTGGTGCAGAGTGCCTTGGGTTTCTCCTGGTTCAGGACAATGCCTGGCCTTATGTGGCCAGAACGTATTGGCAGATCCTGGATGATGAAGGTATTGATGCCATTGACTGGCCCTCATCCCCCAGACCTGAATCCAATTGAGAACCCCTGGGACATTATGTGTCATTGCATCCAACACCGCCAAGTAGCGCCACAGACTGTCCAGGAGCTCACTGATTCCCTGATGCAGGTCTGGGAGTAGATCCCCCTGGACACCATCTGCGTCTCATCGGAAGTATGCCCAGATGTTGTGCATACAGGCACATGGGGGCCGAACACACTACTGAGTCACATTATGAGTTGCCATAATGAAAGTCACGCAATTTGGATCAGCCTATGATTTAAATGTTGTTTTATTTATTTTCAGTGTGATTTGGAATCCAGCCCTCAGCTCGTTAGTGATTTTAGTTTCCACTGACTGTTGTTACATGATTTTGTTCTCAACGAATTATACAATATACAGTAAACATTTTGAACTATTTTGTTCATTGAGATCTGATGTGTGATTTAAGTGTTCCCTTAATTATTTTGTGTGAATGTGTCTGGAAGTTGAAACAGAGATTGTGGCAGGTTGTTTATGTTTTTGTGTTTTTATTATTTAGTTATTTTAAGTAATATTTTGAGCAGAAAAATTATACTTATTGTAATCCACCGCTTAATACATGTGTTGTACAAGTCCAAGATGTGTTCTGATGCTCACTCTCATATAAGTAAAATGTCACTCAAATGTTAAATCTTAATTGATTATTTTTCCATGTTCTTGCAGTCATTGGTAGCGTAGGTGACATTTCCAAAGAAGTTGTCTCAGCTATCGCCACTGTTGAGGCCCAGTCCCTCTTCAATGATAACCCTTCCATCTCTTGTGGTGATCAAGTTATCTGGTGTGTTGCCACCCAAGATATTTGCACCGATGAACCTTCCATCTCAGCTGACACCGCCACCATGTCCACTAGTGCTCCTGTCATCACTATTGATGAGACTCTCACCCTGTCCAGTGGCTCCTCTTCCATCTCCAGTGGCAACACCCATGGCTTACCGATTGGTCCCACTGCCAATGCTAGTGGTGACATGCATCGGTCCTCTGCTCATAACACCTCTGGTGTGTCCCACGGTCCCACCCAACCCAGCACATCTGGCAGTATTTCATCCAGCACATCCTACAGGTCCATCTTTTGTACATTTGTGTCTCTTCATACAGTTATTCCATGGTCTGGGCTTTAGTGGGCCTTTTTATTGTACAATTTGCATAAAAATATATTTCCTTGATACTAAATGATGGTGTCCCTAGTTTTACACACTTAAATAATGCACTGTCAATTCAAGAACATTTAAGTTATTAGACCAACAAGGATGTTCTTAATGTAGCGCTAAAGCAACAAAATTATATATTTGTACCTTAATATCAATAATAAAATATTGGTATTTTATTTTGTAGTACATACCTTGACCTGTTTGAGGAAGAATACCTCTCTGATGACCCTGATGTACAGGAAGCCATTTCACGGTCTTTAGATTCCAGTGCAAGTGAGAGGTCAGTGGAAAATATTATATAAAATGTAATTATTTCAATTGTAATGCCAGATAACAATAACATATGTTATCTAGACTAGTACCAAGAAGAATTAGCAAGTTGCAACCTACATAGGTCAGAAATATCTGGATGAATGCACAATATTGTTTTCTTGTCTCTGACTGATATCCAGTAATTTCTGTGGTAATTTTGTCAAGACTCAAGAGCATTATATTTTATTTGTATGTACAGTGTGTGATTTTGATGGTTGTCAATGTTCTTTTGGATGGACTGTGGTTGCCAGTGTTGAAAATTGTTCTGTTGCTCTTTGCAATTAATGTGCGATATATCAGTAGGTTAAGTAGTTCTGGATAAGCAAGAAAAAACTGCTAATTTCCATTATCACAAACGTTTATGTTAAGGATTTAATGAATATGAATTACCATGTTATGGATGTTACATGATAGTTCAGTGGCCGAGTCATTACCATTGACACTAACTACATTGTATTGTTTATTACTGTTTCAGTGATTTAAAGATGACTTTAGAGAGAATAATGGAGCGGATTGCTTCTCGAGTAAATAATGACAGCACTGTACGCTTCAATATCATAAGAAGAAATGTGCATCCAGAGCCATGGGCAGATCCAATTTTTCACCCGAGAAGAAGGTAGATGTTAAGTTCACTGATGACTATGGAATATCTGAGGGTGCTGTGGACAATGGAGGACCTACTCGGGAGTTTTTCCGACTCTGTCTACATGAAATCAAGGACAACATTGGCATCTTTGAGGGTCCCCCTAATGCTAAAGTCCTCACATGCAACTCCAAAGGTACATGATTAAATCAATTCATATTGCCATAATAGGTCATTATTGGATTTCTTTTGGATCAATAAATACATTATACCTGACTAATGAGGAAGTGTAAGAATTTTCAGGTTTTGTATCCTGTAACCTGTATCCTGTAACCTGCGTTCTCGTATCCCAAAGAGGCATTGTGACAAACATTATTTTTGATGGTACCAGTTGACAAGTAATGTTTGTTTTCATTTGATAACAGCGATGAAAGACAATGGATACTTCTACGCTGGCCAGATCATGGCAATGTCAACTGCCCATGGGGGGCAGAGTCCATGTTTCCTGTCTGAACTCTTGTGAGTGTCTTCAAAAGGGTCCAGACAACGTAAAGGTCAAAACTGAACACATTACTGATGAAGAAACAAGGTCACAGGTGCAGTCGGTGAGCATATTGTCCTTGGATTGCGTCATATTTACAAACTATTCATTCAAACAAACATTCATACAATTTTAACAGTAAAGCTAACAGCTGTATGTCTTCATTCTCAATAAAACATTAAATAAATACCATCTATTATTTTAATATTTTTAGATCTTACAGGCTGAGACTGATTCACAACTGCAAGAGGCAGTTGCACAGGCAGCCAGCTTGATCAGTCTTGCTGGTCACAATGTTCGCATAACACTGGAAAACAAACAAGAGACTGCTTTGGACTTGGCTCACTTGTATGTCCTCCAGCGAACCCGTGCACCATTTGAAAGGTATGTTTATGTCTGAGCACATACTATAAGTGTACATTGGCAGAAAAACAACTGTTAGGTTTATAGTGGTAAAATGTAAAAAAATACAAGAGACTGAAGAGGAAAGCATAAGAAAAAGCTTACTTTTGAGTTGTTACTATATATGTAATTATGGATGATGAGTTCCATTTTATAGTACAAGTGAAAGTATAATTTACTTTTTTCTTCTTTTTCATTAGGGACCTTACTAAACTATACATGTAAAAAAAACTAGTTTGCACTGGAGGTTCTAAATCACATGAACTACACATTACCATTTGTTTCCTTTTTACTAGGTTCAGAGATGGGTTAACATCTCTTGATGTCCTAGATGCTATCCAGAGATACCCTCTACAAAGTGCCTTTTTGTGAAGCCCGAAAAGGGTTTCTCCTCCAGATCATACACTCTGAAAGAGGGAGTAATGCATTCCGAGAAGAGTGCCGGGCCCTGGCTTTCTGGCAAGACTATCTTCAGGATGCTGAAAGTAAGTCTGGCATTTGGCACAGTGTTTCAATATGAGACATTATTTGGAGTTAAAGCCCTGCAGGGGGCAGAACCTTACTGACGCGCTGGTTTATTATTGTCTTCTGCGGTGGGTCAAATGGTCTTGAGCTGGAATGAGCATCTGTCTTCCTAGTTCAGGTGGTGAATAAATGGGAGAGTGATGTGTGATGCTCCTTCTCCCCTGGTCTCTCATCCATATATCGCTACTAAATCCTCCTCTACCTCCACCACCCACAAACTTGTCTGCTGATACCTTTGCTGCCTTCTTCACAGGCAAAGTGGAGGCTATAACTAGCCAATTCTCTGAAACACTCATACTCAACCATTGTAGCAGTCCTACTACATCTTTTCCTCTGCCCTCCCAGGTCAGTGGTTGTTCACCTCGTTTAGTCCTCTCACAGAGAGCGAAGTATCAGAACTCTTGACCCGTAGCTACGACCCAACTACATGCCCACTGGACACGATTCCTATCAGTCTCCTCCAAGCCATATCTCCTACTGTGGTCCCGACAATCACTCATGTGATAAATACTTCTCTGGCTTCAGGAACATTCCCGACCACTTTCAAAAGGGCTCGGGTTACACCCTTGCTCAAAAAGCCCTCATTTGACCCAACTCAAGTTGAGAACTATCGACCAGTGTCTCTTCTACCTTTTTTATCCAAATCTATTGAACACGCAGTATTCAATCAGGTCTCAGAATTCCTCTCAGGTAATGACCTCCTAGATCCATATCAGTCTGGTTTTAAGAGTGCCCACTCTACTGAAACGGCTCTTCTGTCTGTAACAGAAGCCCTAAGGTCAGCTAAAGCTGCAGCCCAATCCTCGGTTCTTATCCTGCTTGACCTATCAGCTGCCTTTGACACAGTCAACCACAGGATCCTGCTATCCGCTCTCTCAGCAATGGGCATCTCGAGTAAAGCACTCCTGTGGTTCAAAACCTACCTCTCGGGGCGTTCCTACAATGTTTTGTGGCAAGGACAATTATCCTCCTCCCACTGCCTCTCCACAGGGGTGCCCCAAGGCTCAGTGCTTGGGCCCCTTCTCTTCTCAATTTACACCACCTGACTGGGGCCAATCATTCGCTCGCACAGCTTCTCTTACCACTGCTACGCAGACGATACGCAACTCTACCTATCCTTCCCACCAGGCGATCCCACTGTCTCGGCGCGGATCACGGACTGTCTATCGGACATATCTGCATCACCTTCAACCCAGCTTCTGGTACAGGCCATGGTTATCTCTCGCATCGGCTATTGCAATGCCCTCCTAGCAGGTCTCCCTGCTTGTGCGGTGAAACCCTTACAAATGGTTCAGAACGCAGCAGCGCGTCTGGTTTTTGATCAGCCCAAAAGGACCCATGTCACTCCATTACTCAGTGACCTCCGCTGGCTCCCCGTGGCCTCCAGAATCAAATTCAAGTCACTAATGCTTGCATATAGAGTGACTACTGGGTCTGCACCCATCTACCTAAACTCCATAATACAAACTTACGTTCCTTCTCGGCCGCTACGCTCCTCCAACGAACGCCGCCTGGTTCTGCCATCCCTTCACACAAAGCAATCCCAGTCACGGCTATTCTCATCTGTGACACCACGATGGTGGAACAAGCTACCACACGCCATCAGAGCAGGGGCGTCCCTCTCTAACTTCAAGAAGCTCTTGAAAACTCATCTCTTCCGAGAACACTTCCTCTTATAACACCTCTAACTCCTAACCTCTAACATAAACTTCCTGTGCTATTCTTCTTCTATCCCCTACAATGATCTTGAATTGATTGCACTTTTTGTTTTGATTGCACTTTTTGTTAACTCTTACTTCCTTCCCTAGGTATCTACCCCATTGATGTGATATGTACTGTGAGCTCTTACTAGTATTTATTGCTGCTCTTACTAGTATGTATTGTCAGTTGTCTGTTGATGCTTGTATGTTCTCAAATGTAAGTCGCTTTGGATAAAAGCGTCTGCCAAATTAGTAAATCTTAATGTAAATAATAATAATAATAATAATCCTTATTTGTAGAGCACTTTTCAAAAACAAGTTACAAAGTGCTTTAACAAGTGTAAAGAATAATACAAAAAAAGATAAGAGCATGAAAATTTTATATAAAATTAGTAAAATACAATAAAATACCACTGGTTAGCTTTCGCCGCTGCTTTTCCACAACCGCTGAGCAGTTTCAGTTCTTTGTTCTTTTGTTGTGCACTACAATCACAGAAGTAGTAGTTGGCAATGAAAATCTAATGCCTCAGGCCCCCTCCAACAATGCTAAAATATAAGGATATACATTTGAATAAACTGAATGTAAAAATGAATGTAGTGATGTATACTGTATAAAGGTGCATCTCAGTAAATTAGAATATCATCAAAAAGATCATTTTGTCCTATAATTTAAGTCAAAAAGTGAAACTTTCATAAATTCTAGGTTCATTACACATAAAGTGAAATATTTCCTTTTTTGTTTAGATCTTGATCTCTCAGATCTCAAAATTTTAGAACATTACAATAAAGAATGTATAATACAGAAACATCGACCTGAATCTCTCAGTCTGGCTCAGTACACACAACCACAATCATGGGGAGGACTTCTGACTTGACAGTTGAGCGTAAGCTACAGAAGGTCATTGCTGAAAGGGCTGGCTGTTCACAGAGTGCTGGATCAAAGCATATTCATAAAAAAGTTAACTGGAAGGTTAAAGTTTGGTAGGAAAAGGTGCACAAGTAACAGGGATGACCTCAGCCTTAAGAAGATTGTCAAGCAAAACTGATTTAAGAATAGAGTAGACTATTTAAGAGGAGTAGACTATGGCTGGAGTCATGAAGAGCCACCAGGCACAGACTTGTCCAGGAAATGAATGTCAGATTCCTAGTGTCAAGCCAGTCCTGAACCAGAGACAACATCAGAAGAGTCTTACCTGGGCTAAGGAGAAACAGAACTGAACCTTTGCTCAGTGGTTCAAAGTCATCTTTTCAGATGAAAGTAAATTCTGCATTTCATTTGGAAATCCAGGTCCCAGAGTCTGGAGGACAAGTGGAGAGGCACAGAATCCAAGTTGCTTGAAGTTTCCACAGTCAGTGATGATTTGGGGTGCCATGTCATCTGCTTGTATTTGTCCACTGTGTTTTATCAAGTCCAGAGTCAATACAGGCGTCTACCAGGAGATTTTTCTGCTAATAAGCTTTATGGAGATGCTGATTTCCTTTTTGTGCAGGACTTGGCATCTGCCCACAGGGACAGAACCACTAGTAACTGATTTGCTGACCATGGTTTTACTGTGTTTAATTGGCCGGCCAACGTGCCTGACCTGAACCCCATAGAGAATCTATGTGGTATTGTCAAGAGGACAATGAGAGACACTAGACCAACAATACAGACGAGATGAAGGCTGCTATCAACACAACCTGGGCTTCCATAACACCTCAGCAGCGCAAAAGGAGCCCTGACCAAGTGCTAAGTGCATAAAGTAACCTTTTTCAGAAGGTCGACATTTCTGTATTATACATTCTTTATTCTAATATTTTGAGATCTGGATTTTTGGAAGTGTAATCATCAAGATTAAAACAAAACAAAAAAGGAAATATTTCACTTTATGTGTAAGAATATATGAAAGTTTCACTTTTTTACTGAAATTACGGGGGGAAAATTACTCTTTTTACGATATTATAATTTTCTGAGATGCACCTGTATACATAACTAGAAGTAATAACAAAGTTAGGTGTAAACTGTTGTAAAATGATCTGACATGCCACATAAAAGGGTAAACCAATAGCAAAGCCCGTTAGAGGGCTCCACACATTGTCATCGAAGTGGAGTTTCATCCAGGTAACTACTAATGATCTCACTCCTTCTTAAACAGATTTAAATGAGCTGAAGTGGCTTTGTAAAGACCAAAACCTAGTTGCCAGGCATGGCTTGGATTTTGGCTAATTAAGCTGCTTCCCTTCTTTGATTACAAGAAGGCTTGAACCCGCAAATTGCAGCTTTTGGATATACTCTAAAATGTTTTTGGCTGCAACATAGTGGGACATGACATTGTCGAAAAAATTATACAGTTTTCTTTATTTGATTTCTTCACCATGTAATACAGTATAACATACAACATTTATATACACCATCAAACCAAACAGTAATGGCTGTTGTGCACAAATAATGTCACCAAACTCAGGGTCAGGTCAACTAGACTCAGCCCTGACCAAATCTGTAAATTACGCGACCTCTGTCTAAACACCACCTACTTCCAGTACAACGGTGGATTCTACTGACAGAAGCATGGCTGTGCCATGGGCTCACCGGTATCCCCGATTGTGGCAAACATCTACATGGAAGAAGTGGAGAATAAAGCCCTCAACTCCTTCAGAGGAATAGCACCGAGCCACTGGTACAGATATGTGGACGACACCTGGGTCAAAATTAAAAGCCAGGAAGTGCAAGCCTTCACAGAACACATCAACTCTGTGGACAGTAACATCAAGTTCACACGAGAAGATGTTCACAACAACAGTTTGGCCTTCCTGGACTGCGCTGTTCACATTGAAGAGGACAGGAGCCTGCAGATTGGTGTTTACAGAAAACCCACACACACAGACCAATACCTACTCTTCGATTCACACCACCCACTGGAGCACAAGCTAGGGGTCATGAGAACACTGCACCACAGAGCGGAAAACATACCAACAAGCGCCCAAGCCAGAGAGAAGGAACAGAACCACCTGAAGGGGGCACTTACAGCCTGTGGATACCCTAAATGGACCTTTGTGAAAACAGCCACAAGATCCAAGAAGAACAAAACTACAGGGGAGGAGGAAAAGAAGGTCAAACGCAACAACATTGTGATTCCATACGTGTCTGGAGTATCAGAGAAACTCAGGAGGATTTTCAACAAACATAACATCCCTGTGTTTTTTAAACCCAAGAACACACTAAGACAGATGCTGGTACACCCCAAAGACCGCACACCCAAACACAAGAAAAGCAATCTAGTATATGCGGTCCAATGCAGTGAGGAATGCACAGACCTGTATATTGGGGAGACTAAACAACCACTACACAAACGCATGGCTCAACACAGAAGGGCCAACTCCTCAGGTCAAGACTCTGCAGTCTACTTACATCTGAAGGACAGAGGACACTCGTTTGAGGACCACCAGGTGCACATTTTAGACAGAGAAGATGGATGGTTTGAAAGAGGTGTCAAGGAAGCCATCTACACCAGGGTCGAGAAGCCGTCATTGAACAGGGGAGGGGGTCTACGCCACCACTTATCCCCCACTTACAATGCTATCCTTTCATCACTTCCCAGGAAACTCAACAAACGTAACCTATTGGCCTCAGGTGAAGATACCAACGATGGTCGTTCAGTCTTGGCCACAGGTAGTCTTAACGACTGTAACGACTGTCGTCACAGCAACAAGGAACACTAACGAACCAGCGGTATCGATGACCCGGGCCAACGACCCCACTGAGGTTAAATAGCTGAGTTTCCCTGCCAGTCAGTCAGAACTGAAGAAGTCCTTTGGATGAGGGACGAAACGTCTTCCAGTATCTTCAACCAAGTCCAGTTGCCCTTGATTTCAACCTTCGTTGGATTACTTTTGTATTACTCCAGTGGTGTAATACTTGATTACTATATGAAAATACTTTTTTTTTTATGTTTTACAGTTGAAAATGTCTCTCTGGAGGATATTCTTGTTTTCTTCACTGGATGTGACAGCATTCGAGTACTGGGTTTCTCTCCGAAGCCAAGCCTTGAGTTCATCACCCACTCCCGATTTCCAGTGGCCAATACTTGCGAAAATATTCTTCGCATACCAGTTTATGCAGTATACATTGACTTTAAATCTAACATGGATTTTGCCATACGCAATTCACCAGGATTTGGAAGAGCGTGAGAGGTAATATTATGGAGGGCTTGTGGAGCTTGAGATATGATGAGGATATATTTGTTTGTTTTTTAGTGCAAGGTTTATTTCCTTCTGTTATTCCCTAAGACAAAAATTAAGCATAAAGACAAGAAAAATGCACAGTAAAACAAGTAAGTTTCATTTGAAGATATATTTCAAGCCATGTTTTTCTGTTTCAGATTTAATAAGGTGCGCCATGTAAACTTGTTTTCAGTTGATAAATGTGAGGCACTTTTTGTTGCATTTTTGTCAGCCAGTCCTCTAACCTGAGAAACCATATGCTGTTTGTCTCCACCCTCTGATACGACCCATAACAGCGTTTGATTGATAAAATGCCACAGATATGGATACAATGTCGGAAATGCCTGTTGCATTTGGGCTATGACAATGCCAGGGGTAAGGCTTGGTTAAGTTTGGTCACAAAGCCAATTTGGGTATGGTTGTGAAAAGATCATGGTAAGGTTTAGCATGAGATCATTACATGATAATTGTCCGAATGGTAAAAATAATAAGCACAGTTATGGTTAATAGTGGTCAGATTTGGGGTTGAAGGCTAAATGTAGCTAAACCACTGTACTTAACTATTGGTTGTAAAAAAACAGGTTGCTCAAACAACCCATTAGCAAATTTTGTACAGGAGGAAGGCTCACTGTAGTTACTTTTATCAGTGTTGCCCAGCCCCATTGCTATGGCTCATTATTCATTATATAGGTTGTGGTATGGCCTTCTAACAAATAAATTGTTCTGTGTTCCTACTTTGTGTGTACTGGCTTACTGTCCTTTTAGTATGTATTGTGGCGGTATATGTGCATCCCAGGCTTTAAATGTAATATTTTTCCATTGGATACTTAGAACTACAACTGACAAAAAAACAAAAACAAAACAAAAATAGGGTTCATCGTCATCAATAGTGTTACATTAATACGTTATGTATAAATGATACATAATGTTATACACAGCGTGAATTTATATGGTGATAACTGCTATGGGTTTTCATGAAAGAAAAATGTATTATAAGCATTTATGCATCTTCTGTCATACGACCTGTAGACCTAAGCCTAACCCCTGTATAACTTCTGATGAACAGCAACAAAACTACATATAACAAAACTAAATATTTCTTTGAAGCAGGTGTGCTGTGATAAAAAGTTCAATTCCATGATTTCCATCGTCAATCAAGGGATTTATTACCCTTAACTCAATGTCCCACTGGTCGTGATAGGGGCGTTGCAGATGTACATGATGGAGTCTTTGATGTTGAGGCAGTTGGAGCATTCCAACTGTCCACAGTTGCATTGGGGACCTACTTTCCATTGTCCTTAAGCTGTGGTGGTTCCACTGCCTCACAAACTCGTCCACAGATCTGTTAATTCTTGGAAGGTAAACATGGTAAAGAGCCCTAATGTGAAGCGGGTCAGTGCTATCTAAAATCCCAACATTTTCCATAAAGAGGAAAAGGTCTTTGAAGTATGCTGACACCACCCTGTTTAGTTCTCCCCACAATCTTTCAATTCTTTGATTATGAACACTACGTCCAACCATAAAACTTCCCATGTTTGCCCCTCGATTCTCAATCATAAACCGTGCATTATCAATATTTTCACTACCAGCATCACTCCTGACATGATGAAAAGTTGCAAGGCAGTTGATGCTCTGTTGTCTGTGCAACATCTCAGGTAAGTAATGCAGCGGCTATAGCCATCAACTCCTCCATGAAACACAAATCCCCATGGATTCAACTTGTGGTTTGTGTCAATATGCCTGGAATAAGAAGACTTTTTATTATTATTATTACAAACAACTTGGTTGCTCATCAAATTTTTACTTTTTTTTCAATGCTGTCCTATTTTTTTCTATCAAGAAGGTAATTTTTGCTTGATTAGAAAAATGTTACAACCCCAGAGATCATTGATAGAAGTGTTCAATATAAACAAATATAAGTAGCACTGTACATTACAGTTCAGTAACAACACTGTAATAGTGGAGTAACAGTTAATTAAAACTTGATATTAAAGGACTAAGTCGTACCATTGAGCCAGACTACACAGAAACCAAAACAAGTGTTTCCAAATGATCATTATGCCTCTTGATGTTTGGTGTAATCTAATAACAGGTAGTTTAGCATGTCACGGCCCTGATCCATGGTTATTACACAAAAACTACCATCAAGAGTTTCCATCTAACAAGTCCTATCATTGAAGATATCATTTGTATTATCTTGAAACAAAAGAGAACATTTGAAACATAAGGGAGGATGAATTTCAGCTGTATAATATGGTAATTGCCCATTTGGAATTTCCATGTCACATGAAAAATGTTTGTTTCAAGGTAATACAAATGATACCTTTAATGTTGTCACTTGTTAGCTGGAAACACTTGATGGCAGTTTTTGTGTAATAACCATGGATGCTGATAGTAGACTATAATATTATGAAAATATTAACCTATATTACTGTATTATCTGGTTATTACTCCATTATTGTCACCATACTAGCATTTTTTAGCCAATAATGCACTGATATATAAGAATTTTATTTTTAGCTGGTTACCGTATTGTTACCATAACATACTATACTAACTAGTTGTGTGTTGTTGAAATCATTAAATGTGATTCACTATTATTACCCGGTTACGTAACTTTCAGTCTTATTACCCAGTTAATAAGAAGATATTACCTAGTTATTAATTTAGTAAAAACATGGTATTACTTAATTGTGTTTATTATCACACTATTACCCCATTATTTCTATGCTTACCTAACTGTCATGTAAAGTGCTAATGTAATGTTTTTTTCATATAAAGACTTATGCCAAGATAGTTAATTATTTAATTAACATAGTTTTGGGCCTCCTAAATCCATACATTTACTTTCTAACTTGCTTTATTCAGCAGCTAGGAAGTAGCCTAATTACTGTAATGTTAATAAAATTTTCACAACACATACCACACTTGATTTGGGACAGAGACATTGTAGACCCTCCGTTGAATTGCCCTCCGTCCTCTTAAGGCTCTTCCCACTGGGTCTACTCTTCTTAATCGCTCGCACACTCGCCAACGCTCAACTCTGATCCCTCTCCCTCTCAAAACACCAGTGATGTAAGTCTCTCCTGATCCAGGGGTTTGTCTAAGAACTTCAGTAATAAGACGATCAAGATCATCATTTGAAATGTTAGTAAAACTCCCATAGTCCAGTAAACCAAGTGTGTGTGTGTATATACACACACATACACACACACAAAAATACAGTGTGAATAACTTTCAATAAAAACACGTCTTGTATATTAACTTTTTTTTGGTTTATGCAAAAGACATCACACATATATTTATTTCTTGCCTTACAACGCCTTTCAAAGTCAAACTTGAGAGAAAGAATAGCCATGTTTTTTTATCCAATGGCTGGATAGAGACATCTGTCAATGTCAAGGTCAGACATTGCTTGAATAATAATTAAGTTGCTAAATAAGCTTATTAATAAGCTGTTTGTTTATATTAATGTGTCTATACATTGGTTATGAGTGAGTAAAGTAAAATGCTATCAGTAAAAAATGCTTTCAAGGCATTTGCTCTATGCGCAGCATTGCATCAGTCACAACACATCTCATTGCCACTGACTACATCACGACAGGACTGCGTTCCAGGGGGGAAATTGTTTCTGCTCTATAACCAGTAAGAGCTTCTTTTTTTGCAGTCAGAATGGCCCACGGCTGTTTTATAATTGTTAGGTTATGAAAGCAAGGAGAAGTTGGAGTGGTGGAAGATAAGAACATCATGGCTGACACATTCACTCCAATTTTCTTAGTTCAGAGAAGGACAGCGGACTGGGAAGAAAAAAGAGAGTGCGGACATAAAACACTGAGAACATTCGTATGCACACGAACTCAGTTACCACAAGTGATTAAAAGGGAAAGTGAGAATGTTTGCATGGTTCAAAGTCACTTGATTTCCTTAATAACCAAGTTAACAGGGAATTATTCAATAAAGGGACTGACGTCAAGAACTTGTCCTCACTTCTCTGTATTTGGCAACCTGTATGATATGCACAGTTTGAAAAACAAATGTTAAAATCATAAGATTCAAGTGAGGCAAAAATATAGTTTAGAGGCCCTTGATGATTTTGGGACTGACAAGACACGCTTAGGAAAGCAAAACAGTTCCAGTGTAGAAAAATTATTCTAAAAGCCAGGTGCATTACATCTTAAGAAATAGTTTTAGCATGTAATGTGCAATATAGGACTAAAGAATACAACACAATCATGGTTTGTCTTTGTCTTAAATCAAAATGATGAGGACCATTTGAGCTCTGCAATTCTTAAGGGGCCCTGTTCTCATGGCGGTGCACATGTGGGAGAAGAGGCGCAAACAAGAGGGATGTTCGTTCAAAAAAGGCAATGAAAAATGGCTTTAGACTTTGTACTGAGAACAGATGTCTCAGAAGCATGTCTGTTTCTGGCCCAACATCACTTCCCTGCCAGTCTGGCAACAGGACAAACTAAATACTTGGAGCAAATGTATAGCAATGTCCAATGATTAAATACAGCATAACATGTAAATAAACCATTTTAATTAAACAATCTCCAACCAGTAGCATTTATGTTGGTATTAAAAATATTATAAAGCAGGAACGAGTGTAAACAGTCGGCATTTGTCATTAAATTAAAATGAGATGATTGTTACCCAACATGGTAAGAATCACTCATATTGCTCCACAGCTGCTTTACACTAATAAAAACTTCCTGTTAGGAGTGTGGTTTTGTGTTCATGTTTTAGTCTGTTTTTGGTTCCGTGTTTCTCTGCGAAGCCTTGTTTATTATTTTTATTCATTCACATGTCCTAGTTTACTTGGTATCTGTTTTCATGAGTTTGGTTTTGGATTCTGTGTTTCTATAGCTTTATTTGATCTTGTCATGTTTAGGGTTTTGTAGCTAAGTCTAGTCCTTTGTTCATTCACATTTTTAAGTTTTTAGTATCTGGCTTGTCTCGTATTCTAGTTATGTCCTGCATTCTTATCCGTGTCTTAGTGTCTACTCCTGGTCTGTGTACTTCGGTATTATTTTGTCCATGTTTGCTCTGTGTTCCGTTTAATCTTAGTTCAGTCTGTTTTCCCTATTAGTTGTAGTTTTTGGTATATTAGTAATCTGTCTGCTTATGTTATTTATATTCTGTTTCTTCCTGGTTATTATTTGTTTCCCTATGGCCTTATTGGGGTCTGTCTGTTTCCCCTGCTGTCTCTCTGCCTGCCTGTGTCTCATTAGTCCTGATCCCCCTCACCTGTGTTGCTCCTGCCCCGCTCGTTAGTCCCTGTATGTATATATGCCTGCTTGTGTCTTCAGTCTTTGTCACATCCTTGCGTCTGTGCTGAGTGTTCTGTCCCTGTGTTTTTTGGATTATTTTGTGGATTTTACCTGTTCTTGGATTCTGTTTTGTTTGGAGTTACCTTTTGTTTGAACATTCGCCACTGAGCTCCCAGTGTAAGCCTACTTTACTTGGTTAATAAGTCTTTGTTGGACTGCTATTCCCTCGGTTCTGTCTGCATTTGGGTCCTCTGTTTCCTGCCGCTGCACTCAACTACCCCTGACATCCCCTTTAGTTCACTAAATCCTCGTCCACTGTCTTATATTTTTGTTTTGATATTGTGTGAGTCATGACTGCTGATAGTTTTGTGTTGACTGCTGTCTGTACAACAAATTGCCCCTTGGGACATTAAAGATATCCTTGATCCTTTACCTTCATTAAACATGGTCATGACTCCAGGCTGCTATAAAATGACCTGACACACATCAGACTGGTCAGCTATACTCCGATCAGCCATAACATTACGACCACCTACCTAATATTGTGTAGGTCCTCTTTTTGCCACCTACAGTAGCTCGTCTGTTGGATTGGGCCACATGGGCCAGCCTTCACTCCCTATATGCATCAATAAGCCTTGGTTCACCACTTTTCCTTCCTTGGACCACTTTTGACAGGTACGGACCACCGCAGACCGGGAACACGCGACAAGAGCTGCAGTTTGATGCTCTCATCCAATCGTCTAGCCTCAAATACTTATGCTTGCCCATTTTTTCTGCTTCTAACACATCAGCTTTGAAGACAAAATGTTCACTTGCCGCCTAATATAACACACCCACTGACAGGTCACATGATAACAAGATATCAGTCTTATTCACATCACCTGTCAGTGGTCATTATGTTATGGCTGATAACTCAGTTATCAGTTGTTTATGTAGGAGATTTCTGTTGTGGTACTACAGAATCGTCTCGGGTTACGTATGTAACCCTGGTTCCCCGAGAATGGGAACGAGACACTGCGTCGGTTACGACACTATGGGAACGCATAGTGTCGTAACTGACGCAGTTCGAGTTCCCTCGAAGGGGAACTCCCCACTACCTTGTGTTCTTTTGTTCCCCCCTTCCCTGTGTTTTCTGTCTGTCCTCCCTGTCTGTGTTTGTCTGGGCGTGGCTACACTCTCTGGCTCCAGCGGCGCACCTGGTCCTTATTCCACTAATCAAGCTCCTGCAGTATTTCAACCCCAATCCTCCTCACATTCTTCGCCAGATCGTCAGTTAACCACATGTGGTACATGCGTCAAGGCCAACTATCTTCTCCAGTAAGATTCCTTGTAATTTCTGTCTCTCCCTGGATTAACCTGTTTTTCTCTGTGCCCAGGATCACACTACCTCCGGGAACCCTGCTGAACGCCGCACCCCGCTCTGCTCACATCTTGCCTGGACTAACTCCCCTCCTCCTTGTTCTCCATTCTGCCCTGTTGGAACCTACCACCCAGTCCTCCGTTGTACCTTTCAATAAAACCCCTTTGTTACCCCTTCGAACTGTTCCGAGTCTGCCTTTGAGTCCTCAAGTTTTTGCATTATGACAATTTCAGGTTAAAGTGGCCCACCAAACCTGTGTCTGGAAATCAAGCTTTACTTTCATCCCTTACTCTTAAAACTGCAGATGAACTGAACATTCTTGATGCTGACCTCAGATTTCCACAAACATTTTAAAATAAAAAAGACAGACCTAAAGACACATTTTATAACCTGAAGAAAAGACTACTGTGATGGCCAACTGTGGGCTTAGCTCCAGTCCATTTAAAGTTTTTGACAGGGATGAAGAAAAGAAAGCCGGTTCAAATCACTGGTTTTACTATATGCACTAGATTTGACTTGCTTGTCTATGAAGGACTGAATGGCCTGGCTCCACAATTTATGATAGAAATGTTTGAAAGCTATGAGTCACACTGACCTTTTAGGATCACTTCAAAGTGTGGTGAAACTGATTTTAGTTTTTATGCTCCGAGTTGCTGTATTGCCTTCTTGAGGACCTGAGATGTGCTCAGACTCACTTAAGCAGACTGAACTTTGCTTTTTTCTGTTTCCTTTCAATAATGCACCTTAGCAGCTAAATAATTTGAGCATGTGAATCGGCAGCCTTAGCTATGTTTCACCAATTTTACCTGAAACAGGCTCCGTTCTACAAAGAGCCTCTGACTCACATGCAAGAATTAAATTATTCACTTAAAAATATTCATATATAATATTCATTTTAAAATAAACTACTTATTTCACTCAATGTGTGGAGGCATGGACATGGCTGCACCCCTAATACTAGTCATCATAAAAACCATGAACTGAAATTAAAAAAGTGTGATGTAGATCGTGCAGCAGAGATTGAGAGGCAGGGGTGGGGAGTGTGCAAATATAGACAGAAGTGTCGACTTGACATAAAAACATTGACACATGAAGCCTATGTTACTCTACAATTCTGTGGTTTATCAGTGAAGTGTATGAACTGCACTGCAGACTGGAGGGTCAGTTAACAGCGACAGACAGATCTGCATTATATACACTGGTCTCCTCTGAAACGTCTGGATCCTTGCTGCGCTAAATTATTATGATGAGGTAGTCGTGGGTCACATCCCTTGCCCATGTCCAGGCACTGTCTCTAACCCTTCACTGTAGTTCAAATGTTGTTATATCTATGTTGTGGACTGTGTGTGCTGTGGCTGCTTTGACATTCAGTATGTTGGTGCATTTGTCAGGGGCTCTGGGTTTTTAAAGACCTTTATTCCTGCATTCTTGAGAATTTTATGCAAGTCATTAAAATACATTTTAAATACAATAAACTATTAAAATACATTTTTGAAACTAGAAACAACTATCTGTGTAATCACCTCAGCTGAGCCCTGGCTGTCTGGACAATGCATCTGTGATTTAAATGTTAATAGATTGATGGAATAAAACTTGGACCCACCAACTTGCTGGGCTAGACCGCAGACTGTATAAAGGGCTAGACACATGCAATAAAACAATACTGCCTATACCCAAATCAACCACTAGAGGGCAACAAATGAAAACACTTGAAGCCATTTCAATAAAATTTGTATGTTAAAAGATAAGAACAACAATTTCTATCTGCACCAAAAATAGGTAAAATGACCAATACACAAGCTCTCAAGTTTGTACAACTTCTTTGTTTATCAGAAATTCACTCAATCCTCAACCGAGGTGACCAGCCTAATTAGTGTATATTATCACTAAAACATGACACTATCAGGAAAATACAAAATAAATAAAATGGTAGTATTTAATATTAGTACATAATGTTAGTATGTTAATATACCTTTATTAGTATAGCCTACCCGCGACCCTGTATGCAGGATAAGCGGTTGACGATGGATGGATGGATAGTATAGCCTACTTGTCCTAGTAGTACTAGGCTAGTCAGGGTCCAACCAAGTTAGGCAGCAATCTTGTCAACCAGACAGTAGCTACAGCAGATTGAGAATTACAAGGCCAATTGATCATTTTAGCATAGTTTTTGTTTCATTAACCCAGAAAAATATCTGACTTGTGGTTAGTCTCTTAGCTAATCAAACAAAACAAAAAACAACAAGACATCATATTGATGTGCCATTCATAGGCCAAACTGTGTAAATGTACCTCATAAAGAAGCAAGCTACAGCCAAATAAGCCATATTATCTTTGATTTTACCACATCACTGGTGCTTTGCTTGGGCTCTGGGGGCTCTGCTGGCTTTGACTGGGTTTTGCTACTGCCCTCATCTCTGTTTTCTGTGTCATGTTCATCCATGTCAGCACAAGTACTGGGGCCGCCGGCATCCTCACTGCTGTCTCCACTGGTGTGAAGTGGCAGCAGCACCAAAAGAAAAGTCTGTGATTTTGACGTACTTTGCTGCACCTGCCTCAAGCGACTTCTTTTTTTTTCTCCCACCACCTTTGAAGTAAAAATAACCCGGCTAGGCACATCCCAATCGATTTTCAACTGCAGGGGGGTTTTTTGTGTCTATTTTAATACTATGTGGTTTATCGGCCCAATTTTCCAGCGGGGCCCACCAGGGAAACTCACGCTACTCCCGATGGCCAGTCCGCTCTTGACATCATAATATAGACTGACCTTGTCTCAGCACCCCCGTCTGTGGGAGAGTGGGGTTTATTGGCACACTTTTATCTCCTTGGCATAATTTATGTTAAAGTGGTCTAACCAGCAAATTAAAGGTTAAGATCTCAGGTATAGATAATATGATTTAATGTTCTCAAATGTTTTCTAATTTATAATGATGATGATGAATTCATGTTGTGCAAGGCCATGTTGTTATTTTCTGGTCCTTTAAAGGACTTACCCTTAATGCTGAAAGTGAAAAATAATGCATTTAAGTTGAAGTCTAAATATATAACCAACTAAAATCCTGACTTTCTCTTTTATGTTTTTTGGGGGGTTGTGTGGGGTGGGGTTCTTGAAACGGGCCGCCAGATGCTCAAGGCTTCCTCTGAGTGTGTTTACCAAGCGACTGTGAATGAGTCTCTCTAACTCCATGTTTTTCTATTATTTATTTGTTTTTCAACTTTAATGTAAAATTCACAGAGTTTTCCTGTATTCATTAATCGCACCATCTGTAATTGAGTCACCAGATATTAAGTGTTATGTTTCCCAGATAAGACCATGAGATACTGTAAAGTCAAATGTAAAGCAATGAGCAAGACCGTCGAGGTTGTGTGTGGGTGGCATGAAGGCATGAAACACAATGAAATGTCAGAACATCTCACTGTTACAAATAAACTAGCAGGAGGTAAAGTGTCAGTAAAGTAATTCAAATGTCCATCTGTGTATCATAGTTTACTTTTGCAAAATAATTTTTAGCCTGCTGTCTTGCAGTTCATTTTGTGAATCATGTTTCTCCTAAGGCTGCTTCAACACCATTGAACACTGGTTAGGAGAACAACCTGTGGTGAAAATTAGGAATGCAGCGACATTTATCATTATCAGTCCTATCACAAGCCACAATACACGGCTTACTTACCTACTACATGTAGGGCTGGGCCAAAAATGTTATCACGATAAAAACATATCGTGATAATTATCGATATGGAATGATATGAAATATGTCAAATCTTATTTCTTTCAAGTTTAAAGACTGATTTTTGCTCCTGAGTGAAAAGTAAAGAAACCAGATGGTTAATTGTGTGGTTACACCTTTCTTTATGGTCTATATGGAAGAATTAACGTAAAAAAGCTTAATTTACCGAAAATGAATTGAGGCTTTGCAACGGCAAGGGGGATGGAAATGACACATTTAATTATAAGTCAAAAAACACACACTAGCTCCAGGCAATTATCTATATTGTGTATATTTATGACACTGGACCTCAGCTATCTAAGCACATAAGTAGGTGGTTAAGTGGCCCTGCATTTATACAGTGTGTGTTTGTAAAATCATGTAGGCTATAGTCTCAGTTATCAAATCACACTAACTATAAGAAAGGGTATTATTTAAAATGTTTTTCCCCCTGTGATTTAATGAATTACTGAGAGGGAAATGTTGGGTATCGTATGCATTTAATAAATGTATTACTTAGCTAATTAACAGTCAGGCTAACATCAGCAATCATGTGCGGGGCAAGAGAGCAAAAGAAGGGGAAAGAAAGAGAGAAGCCCTTTGTGACACATAAGGAGAGAAACCATCACGATTCTCCTCTGACATGTAACCAACCAGTAACAAAAATCTTCCACAGGTCGGTCTAAGGCTTCCCTGTGTAACAACTGGTTCTCGGATTTTGTGTCTTGACAAAAATATGTTCAAATGTGCAGGTGTGCACGCCATCAGTGTATGAATTATACTAGGTGTAGGTGAAGTGTTAGGTAATGTGTCATTGTATGTAGGTGGAACACAAGTGACTGCATAACATACTGTGCAGTGTATCAGTTATTGCAATGATTAGAAGTGACATGCTTTCAGATTCTAAATGCAGTCCATTAAAAGCTGTGCCCACCTCCCTCAGCTAAGGATCAGCCGCTGGCTGCTTCTGCTTCTGCTTCTGGCATCTCAAGATGCATATTTATCCACTTTGGTCCATTTTCCCCAGCAGTTGCGGTTTAACGACAACATGGAAATGGTCACGTAAATGGATAAAATTTAAATAAAATTGATGTAGATCCGGGAAAAACTTGTACTTTACTTGTAAAATACATTTCTTAATGCATTTTGGGCTGTGAAAATACACATGCAAATGCTCCAAATCTTGCGTCAGAACACTTAACTAAATGCCTGGGCTGTAATTGTTTCTCTGGCAGCCTCTTTTCAATGAGACCGTTAACTAAGATGGCGTTAATTCTACTGCTGGTGGTGGATTTATTAAAAGGCTAAGCAGTGTGCCATCAGTCATTTTCTTTCTCTCCTGCTGAAGAGACATGTTCTTTACTCATTAAGTCTTTGGCTCCCTCAAGGCTGGTAAAGGCTGTTAATCAGCACAGCTCTGACATGTCCCAGAGGAGGGCATGATGCAGGGTGCAGGGACTGGCACTCACTAAGCATTTCAGTCACTGCAGAGGTCTGTCTCAGCTAACCCCGTATTTGTGGAGAATCTCAGCTACAGCTACCCTGTATCTAACGTCAGGTTGTTGGAGGCAGGCACTGGTCCAGAAAGTGATCCAATTATTTTAACCAATATAGAAGCTTATTTAGACTAGTGATGAGCGACTTCAACTCTCATTTGTTAAAGCACAATGTGACAAAACAAGCATCTGAAAGTTTATCCTAAGCAGATGACCATACCAAAGGGATCCTCTTGGGAGTTGATGAAGCATACCATGTGGATCTGATTTAATGTGTTAACATAAAGAACTCCACCTGAATTTTCTACTGGTGAAAATCAGGAATCCTATTCCATATGTGTGAACTCTGCTCTGTGCCAATCACATCAAGACGTCACGAGTCACAAATTAAATATGCAGCAACCGAAAAGACATACATGATAAAATCTCTCACTTTGTGTCATCTCAGAAAGTTACCAGTATTCAATATTGTTTGTTTTATTTGGGTGGTTATTTTAAATACTGCTCATGTGGAAACTCAAGCTCTGTGTCAGATTACCCTTTTCTCATATGGTTACCTCTGGCCATGCAATTGTTGTTGAAGTAGTTTTTATATACAATGTTTGAG